GTTATTTCATGCTTTTTTTCTAGAATGTTTATACAGGGCGGACAAAAAAATTATGGCTTCATGAATGAACCACAGACCACTAATAACAAACTTAGGTGATTTGTGGAATGAACCAATGTTATAGTAGGTGGCGCCACCTAGTGTCAATGGTAAAACTAATATCATTTTCATATTAAGCATACTAAATAATAGCAAGGTGCCAAATTTCAGTTAAAACCGTTAAATATTTTTTAAAAAATATTTAAAAATGTAAGCAAAGCAATTTAAGCTGAAACGCTTTATTTTGATATCAGCTATCATCCATTAGCTAATGTCCAATTAATTATGGGACACCCTGTATACTTATTTATAGCAGATTTAATAAAAATTATATGTAAATCGGTAGAAAGACAATCTGCGTTAAAAATAAGTATATATTATACAAAATGATAAAGCAAAAGTTTATTGACAGGAGCAATGTGTAAATTTACACAGATAAGAAAAAACCAGTGCACTTCTTTGTAACTGTACAAAAATGGATAGGATATAATTTTAGTAATTAAACAGAGTAGTTTTACCAAAACCATATCTTTTGATGTGTTCTTATGAGGTTAAGAGTTATGTCTATTTATTTTTTTGTATCAATAATAAGGCTATTCATTTAGAGGCCACATCCGGTAATAGTTCAGAATCCTCCTTAGTAGTTTTTTTAATTAGACATTAATGAGTCATTTACACCGAACAGTTGAAATAATGGTTTGAAGGGCTATTGTCTGTGGCAGCCGATCACCACTTGTATTTATTCAATGCAATATGACAGCACCAAATGAATTAATAAAAAACGGATCAGAAAAGTTATTCAGTATGATACACAAAATGTTTGAGAGAGCACTGAATGGAGAAGACTTACCGGCAGAATGGACCCAAGCATCAATATACAAGAAAGGAAATAGAAAAAACTGCGAAAACTATCGGGGAATCAGCATTATATCGTCTATAGGCAGACTGTATGGAAAGACCATAAAGGAAAAATTAGAAATATATATACAAATAAACTCGGAGAAGACCAGGCAGGTTTCACAGCGGGGAAAGCATGCTTAGATCACATTTACACGGTCGAACAACTAATAGAAAAAAGAATGGCCAAAAATAGATCCGTCCATCTGGCTTTTGTTGATCTTAAGAAGGTATATGACTCAATACCTAGAACCAAGCTATAGGAAGCAATGGAAGACATCGAAGTTCCACGAAGATTAATAATCGCGGTAAAAGCACTCTACAAGAATAACGAAGTAGCTATTAAAACGGGCAATAGAATATTCAACTGTTCAACATATTCCTGGAAAAAATCCTGAAACCATGGAAAAGAAAGTGCGAAGGAATGGTTATACTAGTAAGGAACGAATATCTATATACGCTTAGTTTTGCTGACGACCAAATAGTGATCGCACAAGAAAAGGATGGCCTCAGTTTTATGATGAGAAAACTGGAGCAGGAATATACAAAGAATGGGATGGAAATAAACCTAAAGAAAACTGAATACCTAGCAACGGAGAATACAGAAATAAAACAGCTGGAAATCGACGAAAGTAAACAAATCAAAGGTACAGACAAGTATAAGTATTTTTTCATAATATCAAACAAAGGAACAACGGAGGAAGATATAAAAAATAGACTAGCACAAACAAGAGACTGTATACGAAAATTAAACCCGGTATAATGGGATAAGAACATCAGCATGAAAACAAAGAAAAAAATATATAATACCATAACAAGAAGTATCCTCACTTATGGGTGTGAAAATTGGACAATAAATAAAAAAACCAAAAACAAAATAAAAGCAACAGAGATGGAATTCCTAAGGAGAAGCTGCAAAGTAACAAGAAGAGACAGAATAAATAACATGGAGATTAAGAGGAGAACGGGAATGAACTTCGACATAATAGACTACATCGAACAGAAGAGTCCTGGAGTTCCAGTCCTGGTACGGACATGTCAGAAGAGCAGACCAAAATCGGTGGATAAGTAGAATAACAGAGTGGAGCCCGATAGGAAGAAGAAAGAGAAGCAGACCCCGAAGATCTTTCAAAGATGAAGTGGACGAAGCAATGAGAAGAAGAAACCTACAGGAAGGGGAGAAAACGGCTGAGTGAAGGAATACAGTGAAAACTGAGGAAATCCTGGTATATATATATATATATAATATATATATATATATATATATATATATATATATATATCAGCGCGTTATGCTGATCACATCTTACAAACCACTTTTTCAGCATGAAAACGCGCCTCCCCATATTGCTCATCAAACTATAAACTTTCTTCAAGAAGCTGGTGTTAATATTTTGTTGTGGTCCCGTGCTCCGGATTTAAATCCTATGAAACATAATGGAAAGAAAACTGTCCACTTTGCACCATCCTCCACAGATTCTGTCACATATAATACAGGAATGTTAAGTTGCTTGGAACGAGGTGCCACAAGCAGATATCGATCTTCTCATTTTGTTATTGCCTAGCTACACATATACAGGAGTGTATTCAACTACATAGTCGCCAAACGCATGATTATTCCAGATTTAGCCAGGTGGCTCACACTCCCTCTAAGGGGAAAATTCCCTCATCCCAGATACCTACGGTATCAAAAGGATTGAGCTCTGGTGGGACTCCGTGTTATTGACCCCTATTTGACTTGGTATGCTGGAGTATCCCCCAAACATTTTCGTACACATCTGACATCGTAAGTACAACTTATTGCATGGCCTTATAAAAATGTTTATTTTGACCCAGCTGTTTTATATTCTTTAGGAGGTTTTTGGTAGTAGTTAGAATTATAGATACTGTCTGGGTACTTTCCATTCTCCATTGTCTCCTGATTTGTATTTCTAGATCTCTGTACTTGGCGATTTTTTTCGTTGTATTTAATACGTAAATTATTGGTGTTAAGTATCGTCACATCTTCTTCTTCTTAACGTACCCTATCAAGTCCCCTTGACGTTGGCCATTAACAAGGCGAAACTGTCTCTGTCTCGAGCTATTCTAAATAGTTGCTCAGCTTTCTTTATTCCTGTCCACTCCCTGATATTCTTCAACCAAAAGGCCTGCTTTCTACCAATTCCTCTGCGTCCTTCGATTTTACCCATCATAATAAGTTGAAGAATATTATATCGGTCTCCCCTTACTACGTGTCCAAAATAGGCCATATTTCTACATTTGATGTTATCAAGCAGCCCGCAAGCAGCATTTGCTCTTTCAAGGACTACCACATTTGTCAGCATAGCCGTCCATGGAATTTTTAGTATACGTCTGTGCAGCCACATCTCAAAGGCCTCAGACGATTAATCGTGGATATTTTTAATGTCCATGCTTCGATACCGTATAAGAGGACTGACCAAATGTAGCATTTAACCATGCGCTTTGGAAGTTGAAGTTGCAAGTTATCATTACAGAAGAATGACCTCATTTTTAAAAATGTCGTGCGGGCTATCTGGATTCTACATTTTATCTCTTGATCTGGATCTAGTTGTTCAGTAATATGGCAACCAAGATATTTAAAACTGGACTCTCTTTGAATTACATGACCATCATACATATAATCGTGCATCTTGATGTGCTAAACGGCTAAACACCATGTGTTTTGTTTTTGAACAGTTTATGTTTAGGCCAAACTCTCTTCCCACTTTATCAATGGCATTTAAAAGGCATTGTAATCCATTCATGTCATCACTTAAAATAACTGTATCGTCTGCATATCTGATTGTATTTATCAGAATTCCATTAACTTTCACGCCCCATTCCAAATTATGCAGCGCTTCTTTAAATATTCTATCTGAATATAAATTAAATAACACTGGGGATAGTATACAACCCTGTCTGACACCTCTTTGTATTTTACATATTTTTGTTAATTTTTCGTTTATGCAAGCTGTCGCTGTTTGACGCCAGTATAACTGGCAATCGTCACATCAATAAGTGTTATTTGCCTAGTAAGTTTATTAACTAGTATGAGATCCGGTCTATTACGCGCCACTATTTGGTCTGTGAGCACAGTGCGGTTCCAATAAAGCTTGTAGTTGTCATTTTTAAGCATTCTGGCAGGGACGTATTGATAATAAGAATCATGGCGTTCTTAATAATCAATACCGACAAATGCCTGGCAGCTGCCGGTAACATGTTGGATGGTTTCTTGGGCTTGGCATGCATATCGGCATTTATCATTTTGGACTTGACGATCTTTACCAATATATTTCAGGTAATTTTTAGTTGGAAAACTAACTACCTGATCCTGAATGGCAAGTAGGAAACCCTCAGTCTCGGTAAACATCTTTCCTGATGTCAACCAATAGTTCGACGTTATTATTATCCAGATTTAGCCATTATTATTATTATTATTTTTGACTACTTGTTAATAAAAATTCTTGACAACGTTATCGTTTTATTCGTGGTGTTAATCTACCATGACGCCAAAAAATTACGTTCACGAAATTATTCCATCTGTGAGTAACACTTTGAATGTCACTGAGTATAACTTTATCAAAACCAACTTTTATTAAATTAAAGCAAAAAATTCTTTCTTATTCTATGTTAGAAAACCAAGCTCGTAACAATAATAATAAAATTGACAAAACTATTTAATGAAATATAATGAACAAAAATTGTATTAGAGAACTTTAGAAACTTCGTAGAGTAGGGATAGTTTAGTGTTTGACTCAAAGCACATAAAACAAAAACAACAAGAATCCCATGTGCTGTATCATGTATAATCAACTTTTTCCTGAATACTTAAGTAAATATTAGATTAGTTTCATAAATTATCTATATTTTTTATATTCTTTTCATTTCACTATTTACTATTCACTATTCACTTTTCATAAAAATTTAGAAACTAAAAGATAAATAAATTTAAATATCTTACTAAACGATACGATTACTTTAGGTAAATCACTATCGTTAAAAGATTAATTTATATATTTACTATTTTATTAATTTAATGACATTTTATGTTTCTATAGTCTTACCTTATCCATTTGAGCAAGTAGCCCATCTTGACTACTCTGTCGAGTGGTTTCTCGAACGAGTTCTTTTGCTTGAGATGTAAATTGTTCAAAAATAGAACCCTGCGATCCCTGCCTGGTAACCATACTACCAGCAGATGAAGGAGGCGCTGGACTGACGTTTCCAGATGAACTGAAACTAGACGTTCTCGCCAAAACGTTTCCTACACTCGGTTGTTTTTGCAGCATTGGTGCTATAGGAGGTACCTTTATAAAGAGTAAAAACATTTTAACTTTAATTAATGTAGCAGTCAATGATATAGCTACATGTCTTTTTGAGGTAACACACTAGGTAATAACTTTTCTATGGATGTTTGGTTTTTCATCATGTTCTTTTTAGATGAACTGATGATGCGTTCTGATTACAAAGCGAAACGTCTTCAATAAATAGATGAAGTAGCCACCTTCTTTGACCTTTGATAGAATTTTAAAATTTTGTAAAGATAGAGCAATAAGAAATTATAATTAAGAAAAGTAAAATGTTCTCAGATGAAAAGAGGCTCAACTCCTCAAAAATTACTATCAGACTCAGAATTATCATCACTGAAATCACTACTTACTGTTTTCGTCAGGATTAATTATTATTTCATCAAAAACTAAATCTAAAGCAGGTTCTTTTTCTCTAAAAAGTGGTTCGAAACTTTTAGTTGCAAGTTTGTAATTTTATGCAACTTCTTGTTGCATAAAATGCATAACATTTGCTATAATTTGTCGGCTTTGACCAGACAAAACTTTTCGACTTAATTTGAATTTAAATTCCATTTTACGTCACTCGGACTCACTGTTCTTTAAGAAAACTCTGCCGCAGACTGTACCGACCAAACTTTACACGTTGAATTGTTGACTTCGACTGGTATATTTCTGATAAATTTAGTGCGCATCAGGTGGGCGTGGTGATTGTAAGACTTTTAAAATTTTTCCTATGTTTGACAAATTGTACCAGCATATTTAAACGGATGTTTTGGTCGTTGTTAATGTAAAGATAATCAATTTTAAAATAAACATATTTTTTCATACATATAAGTTATAATACATAAATGTAAGTTACAATTTATTTGCTTATATTGTTACTTACAGGTGTTATCGATCTTCGTCCTTTTCGAGATGCAGCAGATTTTTCCACGTCGCTGGAAGGTGACCCTGGCCTCACGTTATTTGTACTAACAACAGTTTTAGGTGTTGTAGTAGAGTTAGAATCTGATTCATTTTCATAACTACCAGTCTCATCTCTATCAGTCTTAGAAACGTGAGCTTGTTCACTTTTTATTTTGTTTCCGAATTCCAATTCTGAATCTCTGTTGAATGATGGAGAACTCAGATCAGACTCGCTGCTGGATGAAGATTGAGGGGAATCCGATCGAGGAATGGGAATTCCACCTATTAATAAATATATAAACAAGCATTAGCAAAAATTGATATAGACAAATAATTACAGTTTTCCCAAAAACTTACCTTCTGGGTATTGAAGTTCAGAAGGAGGATTATATACAGTGTCAACGTCAACGCTAGAGGAAAAAGACATATTTTGTGCGTTTGCTCTCCTCTGATCGTGGTAGGAGGTGTATCCTGGGGATAAATCTGATGAGACCATTTCTGACACGAAGTCACTAAGAGATGAGTAACTTGAACTTGTACTTTCACCCTCCTCGGAATCAGAACCGCTTTCGTCTGTTGGCTGTTGTTCGACTGTTTGCATACTTCTTAAAGCTCCTATAGATATAACAATAGATAAATAATTTTAATAAAAGTGTCGGTATTTCAATGAATCCCCATCAGATGATAGCCATACCTTTAATTTTTTAAATAGCAAAGGGGGTCATGGGACACTTTATTTGGGAGGTTATCAAACTCAGATTTCAAAATCGTGTTAAACTAGTAATTTTGCTAGTAGTTTCACTAATGATAATCACTCTTTAAAAATAATGTGGACCATTTTTACCTGTACTATTTATTTTATGTACTTAACTTATTAAGTGTTTATCAAAAAACTGTCAAAAATTATTATTTGTAGCAAATTAAATTTATAACTTTATTTCTAATATTTTTATGGTAAAATGGAAAATAAAAAAAAGTTATTAACAAAAATACCTTTAAAATAACTGAACAAATTTTCTTTTGGACCTTATAACTTTTATTCTGGTTAATTTACAATAAAAAACATCAGGGTAATATAATAAAAGGTTTTTAACGAATAATTTTCAGTACAAATGTGTTGAATTTCGTTAATTTCTGTGGGATTTACAGCACTCTCGAAGTTGGCCGGGTTCTTGAAAACTCGAAAATAAAAATACGATAAAAACGAACCATTAGGCTTAGTTTTTCATTACCAATATTTTTTTCTTCAAACGTTAAATAATGATGACATTACTTTTCTAACTTGATCCTGCCAAAGTTTGATGTCTCTGCCGGCAGCAGTTTTTATTTCCCATTTCTTTACGGCGGAGGGAAAAATGTTGTCATGGCAACAATATGAAACATGTCACAAAGCAACAATACAAATGTCATTAACAACAATTAAAGATCATTTTTATTTATAGTAATATTAAAAGTACAAATTAGTTAATGAGACATTTTCAAAATAGAAACCGTGCAAAAATGTTCCCGACTCTTGATACGCATTGGTAATTGTTAATGATACTGATGGTCGAGAACAACTTTCAGCAATCATTCCCGATGTTGGCGAATCATGAGGGTTTAAAATTTTTTGAGCATTGTCGTTCTTATTTCTTATTGAATCCTCTATATATCCTTTGGCAACCGTGCTTGATTTCCACCCCCATGTCGTTTGATTCATTCTAGATTTCCGCCTCTATCAATTAAAAGTGTTGCTGAAATTCGTCGTAAAGAGTGACCCGTATGCGCTTGCATCGTTTAAATTTAAATAACTAACTACTTTTTGGGCTACTGCGCTGATCGAATGTATTTTCATGACGCTTCGGTAACACTTTCCATTTTGGTACTTGATAAAAAATCGGTTTTCTGTGAAATTTTCAGACCGCAGTGATGTATACTTTTTATAGAGTTTAATGTAGTTTTGACCAATTATCGTAAAAGATCTAATTTGTCGTGTTTTACTATCTGGGATTTTGATAATTATTACATTTTCTTTATCCTCAATGTCCATAGTCTTCATTTTTACAATCAATAAAATAATCTGAAATATTTTTATAATTTAGTAGAGTATACTACATGCTTTGCAATATAATTTTTTTACCTTTAATCCTAAATACAACTTATCTGGCGCTTCAAACAAAAATTTATCAAACTCGTCTTTAGTGAAAACTTTAGACTTCTTTGCAGTATGTCCTTCGCTTGTTTTTTTTTTTCAAAAAGACACGTAACTTTAAAAATTCGCTTATATCCACATTTTTTCTAATGACTAACTCGGATTTTATCATAGAGTATCGTGACCACATTGTAGAAAATTTCCATTTATTTTCATTTTCCATTATATTAAAATATGCCAGTAAAACGTCTTCGGTAACTTGCCGTACTCCTCTTGTATCGCACCACTCTTGGAAGTGCTTGTACGCTAACAGATACTTTATTCCGGACTTGGAGGGCCCCAAACGTGCTACTGCATCATTAGCCGCGGACTCAATTTCGTTTAGGTTTTCCATTTTCACACTAAATTTGCGCTTGCGGTTGCAACAACAATAAGCTGTCTTTAATAATTGCAAACAACTGTCAAACAACTCTAACCAGGGAGACGCAAATCCCACCGACGACTTAATTATTTTAATTTCTAACATCTAGACGACTTTGATAGTTGTCACAGTTTATTTCGAGTAAAAATAGTGTATGAATTGAATACCATACATTTCAACCATACTATTTATGGTTGAAAATTGCTACGTTTGAAGAAAAAATAGTATACTTTATTCGGCAAAGAAGCGACTTTTCTTGACTTGCCCTCTAATATCGGGCGCGTCAAGAAAAGTCATGCTTCTCCGCCTTATAAAGTAATATACTATTATTCATATAATTTATTATTTTGCTACATTCCTTTGGTATTATTAGTTTATTATCGACGTTTTTCCCGACAACCTATGAGGTAGAATTTGGATGTGCGTTTTTTGAGTGGTATCCCCATTAGGCGTAATTCACTAACAATTTGCAGGCGAGATAATATTGAGCATAATTATATATTTAAAAAGTTGTTTTCCAGCTATTGTTTTTTTTTTTTTAGTTTCTTTAATGGTCTAGGCTGCGGTTCAGGATCTAATTTAGTATCGAAGGTGAATATTTGCGAAAGAATGGAAGTTAAAATTACCGTCATTAAGGGTAACATTTTCCAATATTTAGAATTTTTCGATTACTTTTATTATTTCCATAATGTCACTGCAGGTTATACCTAAATAATTAAGGCACACTGCAGGGCATTTAAGACCTACTTGTCGACAACCACATATACTTCCACAGTTTTACTTGCATCTGCAAAAAAATAATTTTAGAAGTTCGGGTGTGCTGGAGTTTTAAACAGTTTGATTTGTATCCAAATTTTTTATGCTTTTTCCAGCCCCCTCCCATGGACTGCTTTCTTCTTAACGCCGTGAACAAGACAAAAATGCTAATGTCCTCTGCTACTACAGTCACATAATCAGAGGCTTGAACAGCAGCAAGAGCAGAACGGATGATAACTGTATCTGCATCAGATTCAGCCTGGTCGATACTAAAATTCACTTCTGATAGAGCAGTTTTGAGAAGGTCTATTCAGTTTGTTTTGTACTTTTCATTCCAAAAAAATTTATCTTGGTACGGTGCTATTAAACTTTAACTCAGTTTATTAGGCTTTTTTGTGCGAACCGGTTAATTTTGGAGCGCTGTGGAATCCAAAGAAATTAATGAAATTAAACAAATTTGTAGTTAAAATTATTCTACGAAAAAGCCTCTATAATATAGCTTTGATGTCATTTTATTCTAAAAAACAAGAAAAAAGTTTATATGGCCCAAAAGAAAAGTTGTTCTAAAATAGGTATTTTTGTTTATAACTTTTTTATTTTCTATTTTACGCTTAAAAGTAATAAAAATAAAGTTATAGACTATTTAATTTGAGACAATTAATGTTCAAAAAAAATTTTGTGGGGTTGTTAATGTACGAAATACAGCACGAAAGCCCTTTCCCCTTATTTTTTCAAGATAGCGGCCGGTTGACCACGATGGCAAACCCACAAACTTAGATTTATATAACCCTCCCGCTAAGCATACAAAAGTTATTATTTCAATGGGCTATCAATATTAATTACTAATTAAGATTGCTAAAGAAAATACAAATTAAATACTAAATAAACTTAAATATAATTTAATCAGTTTTCTTTGTTAATATTTCATGTGTTGTTTTCGTTTGAATACCATTTTACATAAGATACGAATTGACCATTTACTTACTATGTAATTCCCATTAAGATATTAAATAATACCAGATCATTTAATTTTTAACCATCAACAAAAATGTAATATTTGATGGCAAGTATGAATTTGATGGTAATATGATCTGCATAGATATCGCCGACGTAATACATATTTCTTCGTCGATAACAGTTTTTAGATAACATGAGTCATGTTCTTGTAATGGCATAACTTTGATTATTTGGTAATCCTGAATAACATATCACAAGAAATTAAACAAAATTAAATCAAACTTGTTGAGTAGCGCTGATTGACAGATAGATAATAGAGCAGTAAAATGTTATACACAAAGATGTAATAGATATATTCACGTACTTGGTCCACTAGTAATAAAGTTGTCAGAATTAAACGGGAAACCGGCCTTTATACACAGTCTTTATTGGGTTTTCCCATGATTTATTGTCAATTGTGTCTAAATTTACACGAAAATTATTCAGTTGTAATTTATTTCTTGTTTGACGTTCAATTGTGCACATATACGAATGTTTTAAAAATCAGTTTGATAAAAAGTTCCCGTGGTGGATATTTATTTATGGTGAGCATCACTCTTTCTCGAAACAAAAAATTTTTAAAAAGCGGCGAGATATTTTAACACTGCATCCAAAAAACACTTAGTGTTTTCTTTGACATGTTTGACAGTGCACGTGGTTATTTTAAGTATTTTTGCTTTTACTTATAGCAGCAGATTCCCAAGCAACGTTTTGTATTACAGCCGTAGCAGCTTTTGTACTGCTAATTCAGCTCATCAGATTCTTTTACTCGGTGATCTAACATTATATTCTGGTTAATGATGTTTTTAAATTGTTTCCAGTTTCTTTTTTTGTTAGATACTCTAATGGCTGTTGATTGAATATTATAGTTGTGCTGAATATTAATATTATAGTGCTATGGTCCAAACTTAGGTCAAAACTAGGCTCTATTTTTGAATGCGTACTAGGTAAAGCTTTAAATATTGCAAAATCTAGTAGATCTGGAATTGTGTTCTTATCTGCTGGCCAGTATGTTGGTGATCCTGTGGATAAGAAGAATAATTTTTTTCTGTAATGATCGAAGTAGGTTTCCACTTTTTGTTATAGTTAGTCGTGATCCTCATAGAGTATTTTTGGCATTTAAATCGTCTGCTATAATACTATTTAATGGGTTAATAAAAAAGCAAATATATTTTTAAAATCAGACTTTAAAACCCTTCCAATAAAGTATCATAAATCAGTATAGTAATAAAGTAAAGTATAAAAATAACGCACCATTAAGTGAACTGCCGTCGTCCCACACGACGAATTTAATTGGCTCCAAGGTATGCAAATACCATTTTGATTTATCTCCGATTAACGAAGGATCCAGAACACCGGTCTGCACCCTTTGAAAGGCAACATTTGTTGGTGTCAACGACCATTCCGCTAAGAACTCGACGGCTTGTGTCCTCGCAAACTTGTTTAGAAAATTTGAAGCTCGTGGTCGCGATCTTAAAAAGCTGTTTATCTGGAATGCTACAACGGGCCGAGGATACAATCGCAGCGTCCTTGTATGTTCCGAGAAATTAGCTAAGAGGTTTTGAGAATTAAAGAAACGCACCTGAAATATTAAAAAACATTAATAAAATTATGTTAATATAGATTACTTGGCTTATTATATTTTATATTATTAATTGATTCTGTGTTGCGCACAATGTCTTGTAAGAAGGCGATCCGAATTGTTTCTAGGAAAAGAGAAAAACGAACTGAAACCGCATTGAGGTAGATACAAAATATTATTTTCAGTACAGCTTCCTATCTCTGTCGCTAACAGATATTTAAGTAAATTAACATGTTTAACTAAGCCAACAACAAAAGAGATGTTATATATTTCTGTTGTTTTATCGCTGAAATATTCTACTTTTTAATAAAGATATTTAGCTGCATCTAATATAATAAACGTAGATAACGTAGCCCGAAAAACAATCTACCAAACCTGTGGGAGCTATAGATCGTTAAATACCTTCATTTATTCTGAACTGGATGGTATGAATACCGATGACATATAATTTCAATATCGCGGCGCCTCGTGTCACAAAGCATTCTGCCGAGCGACTTGAGGGTATGAAGCTGTGATAGGAACTGGTCACCGAGATCATGCTATGTAACCGAGTCTTTCTTGTAAGGTTTTCTTAAGTGGCAGGTCTATACGAATTATCCACAAACTATAGCGTCCCTCAAAGCCAACATAACCCATGGCATCGGTGAAATTCCGTCTGATGTATGCGCCAAGGTCATAAAAAATTGACCATTTCGGATGCGCGCCAAGCAACTAAGCTGCAGCATTTCTATTAGTTTTTTTTGCATCCATTCGTGACCAGCTATTCGCTTGATGTGAGAAGCCATTAGCTTGATGTTATCAGTAAATTTGGTTTTAGGTCTGCCTTTACTTTTTTTGATTTTGGTCTCCATATAATAATTCGCTTTGTCCAACGGTTGTTTTTCATTTTTCCTAGACGTCCTGCCCAATTTCACTTCCACATTTCAATATTATGGATTACATCTGTAACTTTTGTTTGTCTCCTTATTTTTTTATATATTCCATAATAACAAATTATTTTGGATTTAATTATCTTAGTTATTATTAAAAATTAAAAATGTTTTTAATGTGGCCGGTTTTGAAACTTGTTGCTAAACCACGCATTGTAATAAAACATTATTACCGTAATTTATAAACTCCAACCATTTTATTAGGTATGTTTAAACATATTTCAAGTCACTTTGAACATAGGTACAGTTTGTTAGGCATATTCGTTTACTGTTTACATCTCACAACATCGTTATGCACAGCGTTACTGTTCCTTAATAACTTACCATAGTAGAAAAGTTGTTTAAGAGCAAATCTTCACCACAATGTTTTCTTACATTTCATGCAACATTTGTACATCATTAAGATTTAATGGGTTGACTTTTATTATTCCTGATTGTATTGTATCCGTCGACATTTCCCTATGTTCCTCCCTCTATTTACAATTTGTAATTTTCAGATCATGTTTATGCGGGACTTTCCCCATGAACAAAAATTGTGCCATTGTTTTTTTTTTTTTTTTTCAACAAAAAAAATTCTTTGCTGTTCGAACGCAGTACTTTTTCTATAAAAAAAACTTTCTATAGCGAACACATGATCCGGAAGCAGGAAGCTGTGGAGTACTATAGAATAAAAAGATAAATTTGAATTTCCTTCACATGTTTTCTTAACCAAAGGAACAAATTGCGAGGACATTTGAATTTTTCTTCTGCCCATCTGATTCTAGTATTAACAAGTCAGAGAAATCTTCTACCTTCACCTTCACGTGAATTTTAGTAGAAGTGGCCGCTTTTGAACATATTTCATGTATCAGATCAAGACCTTTAAAGATCGATTTTTAGAGTCTTTAACTTGTATTTTTTTTAATTTTAACTCATATACACATCGTGAGTCATGAGGAACTGTACATATTCCTAACCAGTGTGGAAGCCTTGTTGGAAGTAAAGAATAACCATTAAAATGTGTCTGATCCCATTATTTATTAATATACAAGATGAGTTGATTTTCAATTAAAACAATCAAATTTTACAATGAACTAAAAGCTTGGCAAAGTGAATCACAGAAAAGAAAATCTTTTCTTGTAAAAAACTAATATTTTTTAATAAACATTTAATTTATAACTATTAATACTACTACAGCTCGTGTTTCATGTTTTGAATATTACAACCCTGTACAAAGAGGGTGTACTGATGTAAAATTATGAATATAATTTTAGTGTATGAGGACTGTACTACATAGGGCTGGTTCAAATAAATTAGGATAAGTGGTAAAGGGTTATACAGATTATAGCAAATTAAGTTTCTACAAAGTCTTACTAATACTACTGCTGCACATACAATCGCGGTATTTACAGGCTTTCACTCGCGGTTGTTCTTTGTACGAGGAAGCGGTCTGAGTTACCGATGTCTGAACGAAGCCGAAGACGTAAAAGCGTAGGAAGACGTAAAATCTCGTGGTTACGCAATCTCCGTGAATGGTTTGGATGCAGTTCAATCGAACTATTCAGGCGAGTTACCAATAAAATTATAATTGCCAGAATGATTTCCAATCTCCGATAGGAGTAGAACTTGAAGAAGAAGAAGAACACGTAGAAGGCGGTACTAACACTGAGATCACGAGATAGAGCACATTTGCGTCTGTATACGATTTAAAACAGTATTTGCAGTATTTTTCGCGTAACTAAAACCGGGTGAGAGAGAGAATGTCTGTTGTTAGCGGCAGTCAACAGTAAAGAGAATGCGTCTGTTGCTAAAGATAGTTAACAGGAAAGAAAGAGCGTCTGTTACCAGCGATAGGCAACAGGCAGGAGAGCGTCCTCTTGTTTACTATCTTACTGTCTGTATTTTAAAAGGATATGCATTGGAAATGGAAGTAAAAAATATTATCAAGGGTTGGAGTAAGGTAATGATTGTAAAATTGTGGTAAAATAATAGTAGTTAATACAGCAAAAAAATGACATGATTCTCGCATGTGAAAAATTAAACAAACCTTTTTAGCCAATTTCTAGAATTTCAAAAGGCAGTTTCACCTAACTTATCACTACTTGTTAGTGTGAAAATTTTGCTAAATCTGCGGAGGCTATGATAATTTGCCATTTACGTTGTTTGGCCACATAATTTAACTTTTAGTTCATCATTGTTATTATTTATTTGAGTTCTTTACAATATTTTGGCCGTTTTTTATTAGTTCTTAAGGTAGTGTACATTATTTAAATTATATTTTAATGAATTGAAATTTTTCATCAATTTTCATTGGCAGAATATGCAGATTGTTTTTTATGCTTACTTATGCTATGGTTTTGTACCTCAGGGACGGTTTCTACATTTAAGTCTTTATGGAGATAATCAAATCGTACCCGAGGCCTTTTTCTGATTAACGTTTGTGTCGATTTTATTTTTAACCTCTTTTGGTGTGGGGAAAGAAATAACGACATCATCTTCTCGAACAGCTTTTGGGAGAGATTCGTGTATGTCTACTATATATAATTGCAAAAAGAGATAGCTTGCAAATACTAATTAATGCTTTCTGTTCGTTGTTTTTTGCACAACCTCCTTGTTTATTTATCATAGGTGGCGTTTGTATAATTGGTCTCTTTAGATTCTCGGTGGTTTTCCTTAGCGCTGGAATAGATTCCGCTAATGGATTCATTCTTAAGTTGTCTAATCTCTCTCTTTAGTTGTGAGGCAAGTTGGTTAACTTTTGTTTTATCTTGTGATTCTCTGGTTAGTTACTATTTTTTTCATGCTCTTCATGTTTTATAGACTAATTCCAAGATTTCCTTATGGTAGTTTTTTCCTTTTATCCTTCTTAGTAGTTGAAGGATATTTTCCCAGGTCATTTGTTAAATATCGGTATTGAATTTTTCTACCTCATCGTTCAAGTCTTCTTGAGTTGTCAATAACATTGCCAAATCACTGGTGTAATCCTAAAGCTGGCCCAGTCTATGTTATTGTTGACCAACACAGGATTGTAGGGCTTTTGAATGATATTTTCATTAATAGTTATTATATTGGAATTATCATCCTAGTTGACTTCTACGTCGTCTTCTATTTGTATATATTTACTCGATACGTTCTTAATGCTGAAAGAGTCTATTAAATCAGAAATTTTTATAGTAGGCTTTCCTGTTGAGATTGATTTACACTTATTCTCATTTATTGATTTAAACAATTTTTTACCCTTTGTTGATATGAGTATTGAACGGCATTGTCTTTGTTTTGCGTTAAAATCTCCTCATTATAGTAATTTTAATGGTTGCAAAAATATTGTTGACGTTTTTTACTTCGCCATGTCTAGAAATACAAATTTACATACTAACATGATTAATAAACACGAAGGAAACATTATATTCACCGCGGATACACGAAAACATAATTTAACTTAATAAATAAACCAACAAATAGCAATAATAAAACAAGTCATTTTATTAGTGTTAATATAAAAATCTAAATACGTACCATGGCTACACGGGTTGCTACATCAACGGAGTCAATATCATTACCATAAATAAATGGATTGAAACCTGCAGATGGTGACGGCGGTCGCATAGGCGGAATATAAGGTACTTGTGGCGTTAACGAAAGTCTTGGTTGTAGATTTGGTGTAACAGGTGACATAGCAGGTGTACTTTCTGAGTCTGATGATTTATTTTTTGATACACTAAAAAAAATCAAACAATAAAAATTTCTTGATATTTACTGTAAAATATTAGTCAAATAGACTGAAGGCTTTAACAAAAGCTTATTTTGGACTCTGAGTCACCAAAATCTCCAGATCGTGATTTGACTAATACACTCAAGGAGCTATATGAGTGGTACTTTGCTGGTGGTATGATAGTGCAGTGTATAATACCAGTGAATGTAGTAACGAAGTGATCTGGGAAATCAGCATACTACTAAGATTCCGTAATAGGTTCTGATAAAGATTTCAGAGAGAAAAATCTTTTTATCCCAATATTTGCTATTTAGTTTGCTAAAGTGTTATTTCTATTAATAGTATACTCTTATTATTGTTAATAATATTACAAGAAAATTGTGCAATTTATAATAACTGGGTACCATGCACGAGGGCCTGGCATGGTACCAATATTAGAGTAGTGATCATCAAACAAGCATATATCTTTCTATCTTTTAAATTTGGATGAGGATATAAATTGTAAAAAAGACTAATTTTGGCACTAGATTTAAATTAAAATGCCATTATATGATTTAATTTATTAAAATCGCAATAATATCCTAGTTATTGATACAGATATACCTATCTCTTTAATGATTTAATGAATTTTTAATAATGATCAATGATTTAATTTATAATTTTAATTTCTTATTATTACAATTCTATAAAAAATCGAAATAAAATTTTTATTGGTTGTAGGAGTAAGAATCCTAATAAAGATTTATTTGAAAATAGTGGTTTGATATTTTGCATTAAGAATTACCAGGACAATGAAATCCATATTTATAAATATTTTGTATGTATAAACGATATATTTATTAACTACATTTTTAACGTATTATGAATTTTAGTACTATTGTAATGTAAATAATAGTTACAAATAATGGATCTTATGGATAATGGATATACAGTGGGTGATCAAATTATTGGTGCCACGTAGTAAAATTTTACAAAAAATTTTACAAAAAGGGTAGGTATATAATTGAGCTGTATAATACATTAATGCATTTGTTTTCATTTGTTTTTTTTTTAACACTTTATGAAAGTAAATATTTTGTATTCTTGGTATTATAATAAATAGTTTCCATTGCTCTCTAGTGATATTCTGCCTTCTTCTTCTTCAAGTTCCACTCCTATCGGAGATTGGAAATCATTCTGGCAATTATAATTTTATTGGTTACTTGCCTGAATAGTTCAATTGAACTGAATCCAAACCATTCACGGAGATTGCGTAGCCACGAGATTTTACGTCTTCCTACGCTTCTTCTACTTTTGATTTTACCCTGCATTATATTCCTTAGTAGTTCGTACTTTTCACCTCTCATGATGTGCTCCAAGTATTCCAATTTCCTGATTTTTATGGAATTTAAAACTTCGCATTGTTTTCCTAGTTGTTCGAGAACTTGTTCGTTTGTTTTGCGATCCATCCATGATATTTTCAAAATACGTGGGTAACACCACATTTCGAATGCTTCTAGGTTTTTAATGTTGGATTTTTTAAGTGTCCAAGCTTCAACTCCGTACAAAAGGGTAGAGAAAATACAACATCGAAGCATTCTTATCCGGAGCGATATATTGATATCGCGATTACAAAAAAGTTTTCTCATTCTATTAAAAGTTGACCGCGCAATTTCAATGAGGCATCTTATTTCTTTTGTCTGATCAGTATCTTCTGTGATCCATGCTCCAAGGTATTTGTATGAAGATATTTGTTTAATTTCTGTATTATCTAGTACTAGCTTAACTTTGATATTTTGTGCTTTTGTAAATACCATGGACTTGGTTTTCTTCAAATTGATTTTTAGTCCATAATCGTTGCAATATATATTTACTTGTTCAGCGAGGTGTTGCAGTTCTTCTAGTGTTCCTGCCAGAAGGACGGTGTCGTCAGCATATCTTATGTTATTAAGTGGCTCACCGTTTATTATAAGGCCAACACTGATCTCGGCAAGCGCTAATTCTGAGATGGCTTTACTGTATAAATTGAATAACAAGGGTGATAAAATACACCCTTGGCGGACCCCACGGCGAATCTGGATATCCTTGGTAAGTTCGTTTTCAACTTTCACTTTTGCTGTTTGATTCCAATAGAGGTTACAGATGATTCTTATGTCTCTACTGTCTATGTTTTTATTTAATAAAATTTCTTTAAGTCTATTATGCTGCACTCTGTCAAATGCCTTATCAAAATCAATGAAACAGGCATATACTTCCTGATTAATATCTAAGCATCTCTGCGAAAGAACACTTACTGCAAACAGTGCATCTCGTGTTCCCAGTCCTTTCCATTTGTGTATTACTTATGCCTTCATATAATTTCTTCTGTATTCTATTGTGAATTACTTTTTAAAAACAATTTCAAGACATGACTCATTAAGGCTATGGTGCGATGTTCATTGCACTCCTTTGCATTTGCTTTTTTGGGAAACAGTATGAATGTTGATTGGAGCCATTCTTTAGGTATTATACCTGTTCTATATATGGTATTGAATAGATCCAAAAGAAGATCAATAGATTCAGTATTCACAATTTTTAGTAATTCGATAGGAACTTCATCAGGCCCGGGAGATTTACCACCTTTAGCTTGTTTCATTGCATATTCAATTTCTTCTCGTATAATGTCAGGCCCAGTATCATCCTTAAATTCTTTTGGTGCTTCTGTTCTCTCTTTGTCTTCAAAAAGTTGTGCTATATATTGTGTCCATCTCTGCATTTTTTGGTTTATATCTGTTATAAGTGCACCTCTTTCATCTCTTACTTGCCTAGTTTGAAGTGTTTTTCTCATTCCTGTGAATTCTCTAATTCTTTTATGCATGTTAAAAAAGTCATATTTTTTCTTAATTTCTTCTAGTTCTTGGCACTGCTCATATAACATTCTCTCCTTGGCTTCTTTTATTCTCTTTTTTATTAATCGATCAGTTTCATTATATTTAATTGAATTGTTTATTTTAAATGATTTTCTTTTCTTCATTAATAATAGTATTTCTTCAGTCATCTAATCTTTATGTTTTCTATTCTTTGGTTTTAAGTTTTCACGTGCTGTTGTAATTATTGCTACTTTTATATTTTCCCATTTCTATGTTATAGCTACTTTTATTCAATTCTTGGGCATTACGTAGATTTTCAGTAAGAGTTTTTACAGTTTGTTCCTTTGTTTATGGTTCCCTTAATCTCTTAATATCAATTCTACTTTGTGTGGGTTTTTTAACCAGTTTTAATTTGTTTCGTAATGTGACTACTATGGGGTTATGGTCTGAACCGAAGTCTGCTCCAGGGTAAGTTTTGGCAGACAATATAGAATTACGAAATCTTTGTCTAATAAGGACAAGGTCAATTTGATTTCGGATTATTCTATTCGTTGTATTACTGGGAGATTTCCATGTATACAATCTTCTTTTTAACATTCTGACAGTCGTATACTATTTTTCGTGAATTTAGCAAACATTGCATGTTCGTTACAAGAGTGGTACCAGAACGTCATGAAAAAAGCCAAAGACGTCTCACGAAGGAAAATAGCAAAAATAAAAACTTTACTATTAAACGCTAATTACTCCAACAGAAAAATAGTAGCAATTTCGTCAAGCTTCAAAGACAACCGTGGACCCTACAAAAGAAAACCTTGACGAAAATTTGGATTTGACCACACAGCGCAAACAAAAATGTTGTCGAAAAAAAATTACAATACCACGAGATGAAAGAAAAATTATTTTAACAAGAATGATGCAGGAGTCTGGCGTCAATATTTCACCAATGACAGCTCCTTGGCAAATAAAGCATCTGAGTGTATCCAACCAAAAAAGCCGCTAATCACACCAGCCATCAAGAAAAAAGACTTCAATTGGACCATGGATAATTGGAATCAGGCCAATAACATAACTTAACATTGTTTTTCTTTTATTTAGTTTACAGTTAATCAATTTTTTGACGATTATAAAATAATAATAAGATTACAGGTTTGTTTTTCGGACGAATCTACCGTGCAGATCCTAATAGATAGAGCTTAATTTGTAAGAACAAGACCTGGGGAAATATACAAAGAAGATGTATGTAAGGACGGTAAAGCACCGTTTGAGTATCACAGTTTGGCCTATCATAAGCAATTAAGCAGTAAAGGAACTAGTAGCTTCTACATTGTCAAAGGAACAATACGGCATGACCAGAACTTGGGCTGCTGACTGGATACTCTAGGTTCAATAAAGCATTTGAGTCATATGGACTTGACGAAAGAGAATACTTGTCGGTTATATTTAGAAGAAGAGGAAAGCACTCTTCAAGTCTTATGTCAGCCTGAAGATCTTACAATGCTGCGGTATGCAGAACCCAGAAACGAAGAACCAAAACCACCAGTATTTATCAGTGGTTGGACCACGCAATGATTTACAAACAACGCTCTAATTATCATAATATGGTTGTTGTTTACTTAGGAATAAACTTGACAACCTCGTAAAACATAATTACATACTTTACATAAAAATACATTACAAAGTACAGAAATACATATGAATGCGAAGCATGTCTCTGTTTTTACAAAAGTAGCTTTTTAAACCTGGGATCTGTATTCGTTAGATAAACAATGTTATTTTCGAGTTCTTAGCGATTTGTCACTTTTGTTTTAGTAGCAATAGCAGTCATGGCTCCGTTCGACCTTTATACTACTGCCAAAAAAGGTAAATACAAAGGAATGCAACGAATATCGTACGATAGCTTTGATGAGTCATGCTCTAAAACTGTTCTTAAAAATAATCCATAATAGGATCTATAGGAAATTAGACGTAGACATCAGTAACACTCAGATGGGATTCAGGAAAGGGCTGGGTACAAGGGAGGCTCTGTTTGCAATGAACGTTCTCTCACAGAGATGCTTAGACATGAACCAAGAAATTTACGCCTGCTTTATTGATTTAGAAAAGGCCTTTGACAAAGTACAACATGAACCACTAAGACAAATTCTAATAAAGAAAAATATAGACAGCCGAGATATTCGAATTATATGCAATCTATATTGGAATCAAACAGCAAATGTCAAGGTTGAGGACAGACTAACAGAAGAAATTCAAATCCGTCGAGGAGTTCGGCAGGGATGTATCTTATCGCCACTTTTATTTAATCTGTATAGTGAAGCTATCTGTGAACAAGCACTCGAGGAAGAAGATCTTGGTCTGATAATAAATGGTGAGATAATCAACAATATAAGATATGCTGACGATACAGTTCTCCTAACGGGAACGCTAGTGGAACTACAACATCTCGTTCTAAGTCTCAATATATACTGTAACAGTTACGGCTTGAAAATTAATTTGAAAAAAACTAAATTTATGGTAATCACGAAATCAAAGAACATCAGAGCTAATCTTGTAATAGACAATACAACGATTGAGCGTGTGCCCTGTTATAAATATCTAGGTGCTTGGATCACAGACGATACTGATCAAACAAAAGAGATTAGATGTAGAATAGAAATCGCTAGATCAGTCTTTAATAGAATGCGCAAACTCTTTTGCAATCGTGATATCAATATAAAGTTACGAATACGAATGCTCCGGTGTTATGTCTTTTCTACCCTGTTATATGGAGTTGAAGCTTGGACACTAAAACAGTTGACCATAAAAAACATCGAAGCTTTCGAAATGTGGTGCTATAGGCGCATTCTCAGAATATCATGGATGGACCGCGTCACTAACACGCAAGTACTCCAAACTTTAGACAAAAGATGCGAAATTCTAAATGAGATAAAAACTAGAAAGATGGAATACTTGGGGCACACTGTGAGAGGTGAAAAGTACGAACTTTTAAGAAACATCATGCAGAGCAAAATTAAGGGCAAAAGAAGTTTGGGAAGAAGAAAAATATCATGGCTTCGTAATCTACGTGAATGGTTCGGGTGTAGTTCGATTGAACTTTTTAGGCGCGCTGCTAACAAAGTCGCAGTGGCCATGATGATTTCCAATCTGCGCTAAAAGTGGCATGAGAAGAAGAAGAAGAAGCAGTCATTGATGAGAAACTTAACTCGCATAAATAATATATTGCAAACGTGTCAAAACATTTGAGTTATTGCTTATAAAAGAAGCAATTATGAAAATTAATGACAAATGGAGACTACGATTTGTAGACACGTCTTTTAGAATTGCTTTTTTATTGTTTATCGAGAGGAATAATATCTTTACTTACCTTAGAGTATTTTGTGAATGAATACTTTCCCTTCGTGAAGGCTGCAGTTGTTGTGCTGCTGCGGAGGGAGCTGATAAGTTTGTTATTGCCTGGAGAAATGCGCATAATAAGTCAGATGTTAGTAAGTTTTTAAAGTAAAAAACAGCTACGAATACCAGAATATATTATAACTATCTATTCTACTAGTCTAAGTACCTACCTATTATCTAAATTTTAATATCATATCTCTACATAATTCCTTATAATTTCACTTAAAAGCATTGACTAATGTTTGATACGGGTAATTGGTAATAAAGCAATTCTAGTAATACTTGCTTAAATAAATAGTACCGTATGTATAATTTATTTATATATTAATTTGTATAAGTAACGTATACGTGTATCCGATAGAAACGTTATCTTCATAACCTAACATTTAAATAATATTTATTAAGCATAGTTTCTTTAAAAATCTAAAAAATAAAATAATTGAATAGCCGCTACGCACTATACCTGAAATCAAATCTTAACTGTCTTTTCCTTTTATTCCAGTATACTGTTTACGAGTACTAGAAACCGCTAGAACCGCTTAGAATTTGCTAAGGATTTTTGCTTAGTTGAGGAGATATGTTGTGGAATGCAATTTTAGATTCCCCATGTCTCTGATAACATCTTTATCAACGTCTGTTTTGCCTAGAAATTCTTAGAAGGCACATATTAACGCAGAAATCTGAATTGGTGTCGAAAAATTAGTTTACGGATTTATTATCAGATGTCGCTATTTGACTGTGAATAGCCGCTTCGAAGATCCGCTTTAGAGTGGAGCGGATACACAGACGCACTATACATGAAATCAAATCTTAACTGTATTTTCCTTTTAAGCAAATAATTATTTATTTTCGTTTTTCTTTAGTATTTCCTGAAACGATATCCTGAGCGACATACGTAGATACCCCAAATATATGCATCTTCTGGCTGCAGATCTAGTGAATGAGAAAGACAGTCAAAATATTTTCTATTAGAAACTGTATTATCAAATGTTAATGGAGCAATTCTGTTGAAGGTTGGGCTGTATTGCTCGTTAAGGTAATGTTAAAGATAACATTTACAAATTTGCGAATTTTGCGTAGGACAGTACCTTTCAACTAACTGAATTCTTGTGTTCTTACAGACATCCGAACTTAACGATCATAAAATTACTTGACTACTTAATAGTTACCTAAAAATTATTATAATTATCGATTTATTAACAGTCTATCCTTCCATTCCTTTAGTAATTATTCGTCAGTCCATATCTTGTTCAAATTGTCGCTTCCCAGGGCTTTCCCGTTTTTTAGAAGATTTAGTGTGTTTCCAATTTCTTCTCTTGTAATTTATCCAATATTCAGCTCTGGTGATTCTTCTTCATCTTTTATGCTTTTTATTATTTTATATTTTTATTTTTCTTCTTCTTCCTCTTTAGAAACAATTCTGCTTGTCTGCAAAGTTGTCACTCCATCTTTTGCGCGGTCGTTCGACACTTCTGCCGATTGGTGACTTATCTCTTGCTATTTTGACGACAGGGATCTTCCTCATTCTGCTTATGTGGTTATTCCATTTTTTTTTATTGAATGTTTATTCGTTTATGCATTGTACGTTACATTTTATTCTAATGTCTTAACTTCTCTTTCGATATTTCGGCGTGTTTCCTGTAATTCTTCCCAGTAATCTCATCTTTGCCGTTTTCAGTAGCCTTTGCATTGCAGCTGTGTCGGATCCTGTTTCTAAGGCATATGTCATTATTGATCTTACACTGGCTTTACAAATTCTTGACTTTATCTCAGTGTTAATATGTCTGTTTTCGCCACCTAGTATTATTAAGGCATCCTGTCAATCTATTAGCTTTTTGAACTTAATCTCCCACTTCTTTGTCCAGGTCTGCATCACTGGATGGTGTAATTCCAAGGTATTTTATTTCCATCACTTGTTTAATACTGATGTCAATAATTTCTATTTTACATCTGGAGATGAGATTGTCATATTAAATTCTTTTGCTCTTATGTTACATCTATGGACCAGTTTTTACGAACTATCTTTATCTTGAGCTAGCAATATTACGTCGTCTATGTAACAAGGTGTTCTTACTTCTTTGTTTCCCGTTCTGTATCCTTTTACTTTGTTAACGCTTTTGATGGTTTTATCTATTATTAAATTAAAGAGCTTGTGGCTCAATGAGTCTTTTTCCATCTATGGGTTCTGGAAGTTGTTCATCTATTCTGACTTTTATTTTGTTGTTTTGGTAGATGTTTTAATAGTTTTTATAATATATAGGGGAACTTCTTCATTATACAGAAGATGGATTAGATCTTTGAGTCTTACGCTGTCAAATGATTTCTTATTGTTTGTTATTTCATGTTTAGTGTATATTTTCTTGAAGTATTTCCTCCATCTTTGTATTATTTCTTTTATATTTTGATGCTGTTTCGTTATTTATTCTTTACTTTTGGTAGGTATATTTGTTGTGCTTTTCCTGTAAGGTTTCGTATTATTATATATTGTGTTCGTAGGTCGTTTTTTGCGCTGCTTTCTGAAATGTATTTAGCATCTCATTTATAGCAAAAACCAGTAAGCCACATACAACTGCTGAAGATCTTATTCTATCGTCAGCTGTTGAGGTGGTGGAAATAATAGTAGGTAAAAAAGAGACTACAAAAACCGTGCCCTCTTCTAACAATAGTATCCAAGGAAGAATAAGTGACTTGGCAAAAGATATTCGAGGACGAAATATTGAAAGCATAAAAAATTGTTCGCCCCACAGATGGATGAAGCTATAGATATTTTGTATTGTTTTTCAGTAGTAACCAATATATACTACCGGATGAAACCAAAGCTATGGCAGAGCAAGAAGCAATGCCAAATACAAAATGGCTATTCTGTTTTTTAAATCAAGAAGTTCATGCTCCAAAATATTTACCTTTCAAACAGGATTCTGTTAAAAAGTGTCATTTAAGTTGTAAACTTCATCGAAGGGAAAGCGTTACAAACTCGCATTTTCAGAAAAAATTATAGATATAGGGTCTTTATATGTAAATCTTCTTTACCACACAAAAGTAAAATAGATATATTTGAATGTGATAGATCCTGAAAAGAGTTTTTCAGTTAAGAGCAAAACTTTTGATTTATTAATGATGATAATTCGGAATATGAAAATCGATTTTTAAATTGTCTTTGTCTTCTCAGGCTAGCTTTCCTACCAATTTATTCGAAAACCTGAATATTCTGAATAGTGGGTTACAAGGCCGTTTTATTAATATAATTACCGCCACAGATAAAGTTATTGGATTTATAAAAAATAATTTAATTCTGAAAGATTTCAATTGTAAAAAATAATTTAGATTCATTCTAGTGCATTCAAGAAGCCATGGCGGAATTAGGTTAGTATAATAATAGGATAAATTTTGAGCAAGTTTTTATATATATGCAAGCTACATTGAACAATATAGCTATTTCCCTAAAGAAAGTTAAACCAGCCATTACAAGTACATATAGGTACTGAATAATTTTTTGGACCGTTTTTTTAACAAGCTGACATTCCAACAAAAATGATAGAAGAGCGTATTGAAATATCAAATAATGAAATGTTAAAACTAGACATTTTTCCAAACGCCGGATCAGTTTTGAACTGGGATGCAAAAGTACCTCGAATTGTTTTGAGTATCGAATACAGAGCCTAGGTTTGCGAAGTTTCCGAAAAATAAGATAGAAAGAAGAAGAAAGAATTTTCCGAAGAATGGAAAGAAGATGTTTAAAGTAGATTCCTTCATGAAATAAAAGAGCGATGGAATCGAGAGGTTTGGAGGAGGAGCATGCCTTGGACAGGGAGGACTGGCGGAGGAGAAGGGGAATACGGCGATAGCCGTCTCCAAAATGTATTTTGAATTCACAATTATTTTTTATTTTATTATCACAAAATAATTCACAAATCTTTTAATAACTTTTTTCTTCTTATTGTGCAGTCTCTTTTGGAAGGTTGGCGATTTAAATTGCATCTGTAGCTTTGTATACTGCTGCGCGAAAGATTTCTGCTGATGAGTAGTTAAACCATCTCCTTAAGTCCTTTTGGAGTTTTGATGTATCCTTACTTATCTTTTTCCCTATACTTTACCTTCCAATATGATTTAAACTAATTTATACCGTTCACCTTTTAACACATGTCCAAGTATTCTATTTTTTTGTCTCTTTAATTATGCCTAGTAATTCTTTTTGTTTACTTTTGGTCCGAAGTACCTCATGGGTGGTACCTTTTTGTACCCATCAAATTCTCAGTATCCGTGTGTACGTATACATCTAAGATACCTATTCTTTTATCTGTTATGGATACCATTGCCCCATTTTCACAGCCATACATCAAGGCATAGAAAACGTGGTCTGAGCTCCAGAGTAAGTGTTTTTCTCGATCCTTCTATTCTTTTTTTCTTTTTTTTTTTAGTTATACTGACTGTTGATATTGGTTTCCAAATATTTTATGAAAGTTACTTGTTGTATTGTTTGTCCCTTGGCATACAAAGTTTGTTCGTATCTTTGAAAGTACTAGAATTTTAGTTTTAGAAACATTTACATGTAAACCGAACATATTGCTATAACGAGCTAACGCATTTATTATATTTTTATTTCTTGTGTGTTACTTGCTATTAGGACGGTATTATCAGCGTACCTGATATGCTGGTTTCGTTAATCTTGATTCCACCTTGGACCTCATCTAACGCTTCTTTGAATATAGATTCCCAATACAAATTACATAATAGCGGTGACAAGATGCGGTTCTTAGATAATTGATAAACTTAGATAAACTTTTTAGGTACTATTTATTTAACAAATAATTAGTTTGGCAAATCAAAAATGATTTACTTTCCATAGGAAGGATTGTTTTTAGTGTATTTTTACAAAAAAATTAATATTTTATTTATATAATGAATTTTTATGAAATACGGTTTAAGTTGTTTATACATGTATGTTACCTTCTTTTCCTAAGTGTTTTTTATTTTATATCTCTACTTATATGTAACCAAATTTCGTTACTAAACAAGAGGCATATAATATTAGTTATTAAATTAATATTTTTTTAAATTGT